CTCTGGACTTGACCATGTGCCTGGCTTTGGGTAATAGAATGAAGCAGAAGTGCAAGTATGGTGCTTCTAAGTCTACAACTCGAGAGGCCTTGCTCTTTCTTGTGTTTCTGTCATCTCCCTGAGGACATTCCTGAGGTAGCCTACTGGCATGGAACAGATACGTGGCAGAGACTTTAAGTGCCCAGTCAGCCCAGTTGAGACTCGTCTAAAATCTAGGCATTCCATGAGCGAGGTTGGGTGATTTCCCCCTCAACCAGCAGCACAGAGGCCCTTTCAACACCCAGAAATAGATCTCCCATTGAGCCTCTGTTTATCTCTTCTGACCAGAAAAGCAGCTGGCCCTGCAGGAAAGGCTGTGGCTGCAATTAACTCCAGGAGGCCCCAGCCAGACTCCTGAGCAGCAAGAATAAAGACTGCTCAAAGGCCTTTTGGAGTCATGTAGCTAGCTCCTTGCTAGAACCATTCGGTCATCTGAGGAGTCAATCTGTGAACTAAACACACACACACACACATCATTGCAAAATTCCAGAGGTACTCAGCATCATTCCGTTATTCTCACAGTTGCTTCCTGATGACTCTTCATCAGATACCCACTCTACAGATAAATGCTGATGGTGTTTTGTTAAATGGGAAGTATTTAGAAAGGATGGATTGACGCAATTGTATTCCAGTACTTTGTATTTAAACTAATTTAGCTCAGTATTAGACTAACAGTAATTATGAAAATAGCAGAATCAGATGTTTTTTTAAGGCCACCTCAGGCAATAAGAGGTTGCTGTTAGAACACTCACACATCATTGCTGAACAATTACCAGGTCATTAGGAAACAGCTTCAAACAACTTCATATCTTTACTAAGAGCCCTTAAAAAACGCTCTTCTTGTTGCTTATCTTCTATACAAATGCATTAATGAAGGCCTGGAAAATTGCAGCAATTTAATTCACTAGGCATGGGTCCAGGAACAGAGCTGAGGAGTATCAAATACAAGCAAATGACCCTCTGAAATCTATTTCCAGGTGGCTCTTGAAACTCAATGTGGTGCTGTTACTCTTCTTTTTAAAAAAATACATATTTTAATTGATTTCAGAGAGGAAGAGAGAAGGAGAGAGAGATTAAAAATCAATGATGAGAGAGAATCATTGATCGGCTGCCTCCTGCATGCCCCACAATGGGGATCGAGCCTGCAAGTCAGACATGTATCCTGACCGGGAATTGAACCATTACCTCCTGGTTCACAGGTTGACGCTCAACTGCTGAGCCACACTGGCCAGGCAGGTGCTGTTACTCTTAAATAAACCAAAATGAGGCCCCAAATCTTTAAACCCAAACTTCTTTGAGGCTGAACAAATATGTTTAAAACTATAGGTAGACATTTTTATTATAAAATTCAAGCTTTTTGCATAATACTTTTATTTTATCTAAATTTGTTTAAATTTGGCTACTTTTTCAGGAGACCAGAGAAAGAAACATGGGAGCAGATCTCAAAACTGTCCTTAGCACTTGAAGAAATGATTTATTACCCTTACCTCTCCTCTGACCAAGCAGTTCCCGGCACAACCCTGAGCCCTCTAGCCCATGGTGTCTTGGGATTTCGCCCTAAATAATCTGTAACCTAACACTATTGGGGGGTAGGGTTTCTAGCATTAGCTTCCTGTCTCTGGATTGGCCAATTCAATATTAAACTATTTTTTCTTTCTATACTGCAAACTCCTACTTGTAGACTTATTTGGGCCATTGTACGTAGGCAGACAGACTCAAAAACAATGGGGTTCTAGTAACACTCCCAAACAATATTAGAGTGATTTGTATTTTCTCCTGTACTCCTTTTTGTATGTTCTAAATTCTCATTATGTACATGTCTTTCTTTTGTGTTCAAATTCTGTGTTTTTAAAATGGGGAAAATTTAAAATTATTTCTTTCTAAATAAGCAACTTAGATTAAATATAAATTAAAGTTTTCAAGACCATTTAAATTTTATATTTGTCTTAATTTATTTGATATGCTGTGTGTTTGAAGTGTTTCTTGTTTTATTTGATTTGAATTAGCTGGCATCAATATTAAGTTTTTGGTTTCTGGCTATCTGAAAGAAAAGAAAAATACAAAAATACATTGATCAGAAATAGCTGTCTTACCATACTTAAATAGTTCAAACCTAAGCCAAAAATAATATAACCCAATAATATAACCCAGAATGATGATGGCGTAAAACTACCTTTTGAACTCATTATTAATATTTTCTTTTTATTTGTGGATGTGAAAATTAACTTAATTACAATGTTCTATTTTAATATTATGACAACTGTTTTGAATACCTTTTTAAACACTGCATAAGAATTAAATATATACTTCCAGTATGTGATTATAAGAATTATTTTTTGTGTGAATGTGGGCAGGAGAAATAGATAGGTTACTGAGTAAATGTATATCTATTTGTCTTTGATAATTTGCTGGTGTATAAACCTTAAATAGAAGAAGTCCAAGGCAATTGACTTAATAGACCATTGTATATTCTCCTTTTTATAGGGCCCCTTTAGATTTTATCACATAACTACCTCTTCTTTATTAGAAGTTACAATCTAAGCCAAATCATCTTAATTGTCAGTTAAACTAAAGAGAATGCAAATTAAGTATTTTGTAGATGAAACTTTAACTAACAACCTACTTAGTGTTGGTGGTGGAGATTACATTTCATCAAATCGCTATCTTTATAGAGCCCGGGCAATAAGCCTAGAACCTCAGGCTGTGCCCTCCAAGAAGGAAGAGCCCAAGACTAGACCTCACTTGAAGGTAAGATTTTGGGATGTGAATCCATGCCGGGGACCAATTCCAGCATGTCATAATTTCAAGAGTTTCATCAAAAGGTTGATGAGACTTGGGGACTCAACAGGGTTGAGTCACACATGTAGTCACTTGTTGGGAATGGCTAAAGGCATTTCCCCAAACCTGAATAGGAAACTGATTGTGGCTGCCAGACAGGAGCCACACTCAAGGGGCCAAAGAGCCGCATGTGGCTCGTGAGCCATGGTTTGCCAACCACTGCCGCAAACTGACAATGCTTCTGTACCCTTTGAAACCTTACCCTTTGAAGTGTATTATCTCCACCTTGCCTTAGGACAAATTGTGTTAATAAAAGCAAGGGTCCTAGACAAGGAGGTAGTCTTCAGTAGTTCCTTTAGAAGGTCCTCTGGCCCCCAATGCCTTTCAAAATTATATCTCATCTCCGGACTCTTTATTAGTCTCTGGATTCCTATGTCATCTACGCGCAGCCTTTTCCAGATTCCTGAACCCTTCTTGATGCTGGGACAAGAACCCCGGCAAATCCACAAAACAGAAGTGAGCCACTGGGAGAATGAACCAAGAAAAGAAGGACAGCTTCCCCAAGGATACAATATCGAGGCACCGAGCCCCCGTCCCGCAGGACCCTCTGAAGAGCCAGGTAGACTGGGCCTCAGAACTGCCCACCCCAAACACAGAGGAGATGTCTATCCACTTGCTCTGACCCCCATTCATCAAGGATTGCTCTGTGGGACAATAACTCGCTCATACTTCCATGCTTGCACATGAATCTCAAGGTCTCCAGTCTCCGCCCGACATCCAATGAAGTAGAGGCAGAGAGCTCCCAAGATGGAAGTCTGAGGGGGGTACTGCTGGGTCTTACTTGCTGGAAACTGATGACTTCTGAATGGCTGAGGTCAAAGGATGGGCTGAGGAGATGTGAGAGCACAGAACATTGTGCGTGTAAATATACCCACAAATGTTCTTAAGCATTTTAGGTAAGAAAAATGACATTAGCCTCCAACACACAGACACACACACTCCACCTTTATGTGTATACTAGAGGCCCAATGCATGAAATTTGTGCAAGAATAGGCCTTCCTTCCCCCGGCTGCCAGCACCAGCTTCCCTCTGGCACCCGGGACCCAGGCTTCCCTCGCAGCCCTGGCTTCATCTGGAAGGTCGTCTGGTCTAATTAGCATATTATGCTTTTATTATTATAGATGTGCATGTCCTGAAGCTGGCTTCCATCAGCTTTTGAGAGTCCATTATGTTCATCTCTTCCAGAATCCTTGTTCAGTAACATCAAGTTGGTACTTTCAAATCAGCAAGGATGGGAGTGTTTACACTACAGAAATTGGCAAACTCTATAAACCAGAGTATTTGGAGTGGGGGCGGGGGGTGGGGGGATGAAGGCAGGGCAGAGAGGTGGTTTACCAGCACACCACTACTACGTATATGTATATATGTATGCATGTGTGTGCATATACATAGACACACATGATAAAGGTGTAACTAATTTGTAAATTGTATTTTTGTAAAATAATAAAAATAAATTAAATTAAAAAAAATAATAATTGCTTGGTTCCAAAATAACTATCCATAGGAGCTTTCCTGTGAAGAAATAGACTTAAAAATATAAGGAAAATGTTAATGCCATCATCTAACTCACTTCAGTGTTTCTCTTTTTCTCTCTGTCTCCCACTCCCTTCCTCTCTCTAAAAATCAATAAACTACTCTTTTAAAAAAGAGATAAAATTAAAATAAAACAATAACATTATTATCTATTAAATTGATATAATAATAGCTAATTTTAAGGGATATTGTGAGGAAAAATGAGTTTATATATGTAAATTGCCTAGCAAAATGTTTAAAACAAAATAGATAATCAAGAAATGAGAGCTATTATCATTGGACTTGTTGCTATTGAAGTAAGGTCATCTTTACAGGCTTATGTTTTAAAGTGCTTATGATTTGGCGCCCTCTGGTGTTCATATTGGGCACTGCAATTTTGAATTGGTAATGTTCAGTTTAGATTACTCGCTGATTCCTCATGGTATTACCATTTGCATATTATTTTGCCATATCCAAATGATATGTTTAGTGATTTGTGTGTGTGTGTGTGTGTGAGAGAGAGAGAGAGAGAGAGAGAATGTGAGAGAGAAATATCAACCGGTTTCCTCCCATGCTGGCCCCAACCATAACCTAGGTATGTGCCCTGATCAGGGATCAAACCCACAATCTTTTGGTGTATAGGACAACACTCCACCCGGCCAGGGCTGAGCTGTTACTTATTTAATATATTTATTTAAACTGACTTTTTTTCTTAAGGGAAAATAAGTATATTTCTAAAGCCAATATTCTATCATTAAAGATACATGGAAAATATGTATATTTTCTAATGTGTTTGATCTTGGAGTAGTTTATTTTTTTTAAATGTTGTCTTATTTGTTTTTATTTTAGAAAAATATATATAAACTATAAGGCAAAATAAATTTTGATAAATGCCCCTGGGTTATGGAGATTTAAAAAAAAATAAAGATGATCAGATTTGTGTTTTAGAGAGATCATTTGTAACAGTAGAGTGGCTGAAGGAAAAACATTGAAGGAAAAAAATCAAAATAAAAAAATTAGAGGTGGCCAAATGAGATTATGCCTGAATCACCCACATGGACAACATAACACAATCACTGCATTTGTCATAAATTTTAAACTGAGAGCTAAAAGTATTTTTAGAACATTACAAACAAGAAGGCAGTAATTTGTACTAACAAAAAAGACTCATTAAATTAAATCATGGAGCTTAGTGGAAGAAATGAAACAATTTAAGAGACGAAAAGTCCTGACAGCCCTGGCCAGGTCGCTCAGTCGGTTGGAGTGTCATCCTGTACACCAAAAGGTTGTGGGTTCGATTCCAGATCAGAGCACATACCTAGGTTGATAGGGGCCCATATGGGAGACAACGGATCGATGTTTCTCTCTCACATCAATGTTTTTCTCTCTCTCTTTCTCTCTTTCCCTCTCTCTCTCTTCCTCTCGTTAAGCATATCCTTGGGTGAGAATTTAAAAAAAAAAAAGTCGTGACAGAAGAATAGACTTCTTAGAATGATATGGAAACACCACATGCCAAGCAGAAGTTAGTACAATGGCAAGCAAGTCTGAGTAATAGCAAATAGAATCACGATGATGGAATAAGAGGTGGAATAAGTGCTCAACAACCACACATAAGTCATGGGGAAAATATTTCCCTTTTACTTGAATAATTATATTGTGTACTTAAAAACTTTCGTGTGGCTTTTATTGAAAAGTACAGATCTTGGTGAAACACTTTAGCTTACGAAACTGGAAATTGGTTGTGAATCTTCTCATTGTGAGTTATCATAACCAGAGTGAGTGTGTGAGTGTGTATATAGTAGTGCAGGGTGGTGTTTTAGCAAAAGTGGCTTGGAGATAGAGGTGGAATTAAAAAAAAAATTAAGGTATGAAGCAAAACTTGAATATATACGAGGAGTTAAAAGGGAAAGAAAATCTTTTTTTCCAGGACGTTGGGTTATTCCCGCAGTTAGATAGACTCTGTTTGCTCTCAGATTGATTCTCTTCACCAGCAGGTACAGGCCTGCTATACTCACTTGACAGTTATGGGGAATAATTATGCATTTCCTTACTGAACTGGTTTGAAATGTCACATTGCTTGAGAGTGCCTGCAGTGTGTCAGGTTGTGGTAATTTTCTTCATTTTCCTAGTGAATGCTTTACGTTGCTGATGCAGCTCATGAATAGAGCAGCCCTTTTCTTCCTCCGAAAAAGACAGGTGACTGATGAGCGATGTCATTAGACTCACAGAAGTGGTGCCTCCAGATACAGATGCAAGTCATTATTTTTAAAAGAAAGTCAATGTGTGTGTGTGTGTTTTCTTTGAATGTTTCCATTAACATTATGCAACACTTACTTTAGGTGACTTTCGTTCATTAAACATGGTTTTTAATTTATATTTTCACTGAGTATTCTCTGATATTATTACTGAATGACCTGTGACAGTAATTGTTTAATTGTTCCCAGGAATGGAGGGAAAGAAAATTAGAAATTGGAGGCAGATTGTTGTCTGTGTTAAGAACACTGGTTGAGGAATTTAGTCTGGGATCATATCCCAGCTCCACTGTTATTAACTGTCTGACCTAAGTCAGTTAAATAATCTCAGGCCAATCAGACTCAGTTTCTTTGTCTGTGAAATGGGGATAATAATACCTACCTCACACACACACACACACACACACACACACACTACATTTACAAAGCTTATTCACCTTCATTTATGTAGAACTTTTGCATTGATAGTAATTTTTCATAATTTCCTCTCCTGAGACTATTCTTATTGGTCTTTGGTATCAAGATTATAGCTCTGCAAGGTCTTTTAGAGTCTAGAGATTTCATCCACTTACCAATTGTTATAAATTATTTTACAATTTGCTAATTTTGGTTATCTTTAATAGATGAAAGTTTTACTCTTTGAAGTCAAATTATTTTCCTCTATGAAATCTAAACTTTGAAAGTACTTTTCATAGCTCAAAACTTAATAAATATTCAATTACATTTTCTTTTTTTATTGTCTAAAGTTTTACATATGTCTCTATTCAATTACATTTTCTTCTAGCTTTTCTATGACCTAAAAATATTTGATATTTTAATTTCTGTGAAATTAATTTTGACATATAAAGTGAAAAGAATGTATAAATTAAAATTGTTCCAAATTCCTCATCATATTAAAAAAGTGATAGAAAGTTTTGAATTTTTTTTCCAATTCTAAAAATGTACTTTAACATTTTTTTGTTTAGTCTTGGTAAAAGACTTCACAGACTTTTACAATACGGCAATTGTCTTATGCTTACATAGCTTTTTTAAAAAGTTTTGAATACTTAACTTATGACAACCATATAACTCTACATAAGCAACAAAATAAAATTTATAGTTTCTTTTAGAGTATGTGTTTGAAATTAGTGAATGGAAAATATAAACAATTCTCAAATTAATTATGAGTTAATATTAGAAGGAATATCTTTGACTTGCTAATTTTTCTCACACCAGTGGTTTCATTAACATACTGCTGGAGAACTCTTTGGATAAATCAATTTCTGTTCTTTAACCATCACTCATGGGGAGGACTGACTACCAAAAAACAAGAACTTCTCAGCGAGATCTCATAAAATGTTCCTCTGCACAACCCTGTAAGTGCATTTCTTTTCCTACTAGCTTTTATTCAAAAGCTTAAATATTAGAATATTAAATATTAAAATATTTAAGAATTAAAATTTATGGTGCTTTAAAATTTTTCTAATTCCAAATGATTCTTTTTAATAATGATTAATTATGGATTTATTTTAGTCTTCCACAAATACGTTGAAACATTGAGCAATATACAGTATTTCCAATTTGAATTTAACTTGCTTCAATTCATTTTCCACTTTGCAAAATCAAAATTTAATATTATTCATTTAGTCACATAACGAATACGAGCTTTCTGATGGGGTCTTAACTGAGACAGGCCTGCCTACCCAGGCCAGGCGCTTGACTTTGACGTAAGCTGGTGGAAGAGAGCTTACATTGGTATGTTATTATTGCACAGTTTTTATGATCGATTTGGATTGTCTATCACATGCATTTAAAACCCAGTGCAGATTATTTCAGAGTGTGAGGGTCACTTGGAAGTTTTAGAAAACAGCCATTGTGGTCAGTAAGCAATCGGTTGCTCTTTTGCAGTGTTGTGTGCAATCTGTCCTGGGACCGTGGACAATAGATGGGTGTGCCGTCATCAGATGTCACACTCCTGGATCCTTTAACTTTCTCCAAGGGCTTTATCAATAATCCTTGTGACGTTCTCTGTGGCCTTTCTCTAACCCAGAAGCATCCATTGTGTTTGAAAAAAGAATGAGACCACACCTGACTTTCTGCTTCTGTCTCATGAGGATGCTGTGCTAATACCCATTTATCTGAAGGTCAGGCTCTGGCAAGGGCAGCCACAGGAAGCGCAGCCACTAACCACAGAGCCTGCTAATCAGCACAAGAGACCCCGAGCTGTAAAGGCATCGCACCTTTGAATAAGCAAGACAAAAATCCTCTAAGAAATGGGAAAACCCTGCTACAATGAAGGAATTAATGGTGTGGTAAGGGCCTTTGTCTTTTTATTCTGTCCTTTTGTGCTTCTCTCTTGGAGTTTTCTTGTTTCCATCACCCCTGCTGTGTCCTGTACTGGCCTAGACCGACTTGACAACACACTTCTTTTCTTCGTGCTACTGAAAGAATTGAACATTTTCAACAGAAACAGGATAAACACTAAACAGAAAAAAAAAAATACAAAAAAAAAACAACCACCAAACAAACAAAAGAGATTCAATCACCTTGAAAATTTCTCAAACTACAGGTTTTGGAATCCAGGAAAACCAAATGCTCACCATTCTGTGACCAGTGCAGGCCTGGGGGCTGCTTTCTTCCCAGTGTTTCAGATCCCTCCTGTCGGATGGTCCCATTCCAACCTGAAGGACAATGTAAGTGGTGTCTTCTCATTCCTCTTAGTTACTTCTGTCAGGAAAAGAGATTGGGCTAAGAACACAACCACTCGGTCTGAACCCTACAGCCTCATGCTGCACTCATCTGACGTTCGTGTCTTGACTCTCTGCCTCAGTGGCCCTGGCAGGACGGTAGCCCCCTGTCTCCCCTGGCCTCCACAGCCCACCCTCTGGCTGGTGGACTTGAAGAGGAGACGTGTTCCAGGTCCTCCTGAGGACTGGGGAGGACCTCACTGAAGTCTCCCCATTGCCTTTTGCCCAGCTCTGTAGCAGGATGTGGGCGGCACAGCAGGCCCTCTAGGCAGAGTTCCCCACTGCCTCTCCCTGTGTGCAGCCCCCCGTGACCTTCCTGAGGGACTCTGCTGCCCCCTCCCTCCCCTGGTCTCTCTCCAGCCTCCTGTGAATGTTGGCCCACCAGCTGGTTCTCTCTCCTAACTTCATCACCCCACATGGGGCTCAAGGACACGCCTAGATGGTTTCACAGAGTGACGATCACTCTGTCCTTTACATTTCTCAAAGCAATCTGGCCACCAAGTTCCTGAGGGGACTGTCAAAGCCAGGTCCTCCTTGCTGTGAGGAGGGTAGGGAAGGAAAGAGTGAGAGCAACACACAGACAGACCTACCTCTAACCTCTTCTCCAAACTTCTCTTCCTGCCCCAACTCCCCGGAAGCAGGGGTGGGGGAGTCTGTGCTCTACCTGCTTACTTTTTATTTTTTCTTCACTCTTTTCTGTTTACCTGGGTGGAAACTTTCTTAATTTTTTTTTTTTTACAAAGCAAATCAGAGTATCAGGGAGTAGGGTCCAGGTATCAGAGATGTCAGAAGTGGTTTAAAGCCCTTGGGTGGTGCTGATGCCTCAGAGGGCTGGGACCACTGCTCTAGAAACACAGGCACTAGTAGGCTGGGAGGGAAAGAACCATCAGTTAACACCTCGCACAGCATCCTGCCACGAAATGCAGACGCCCAGGCACAGAAAGGCTAGGAAACTGGCTGTAGCTTACACAGTTAGTAATTTTCAGTGTGAGAATCGAATGGACCCCAAAGCCCATGTTCTCCTTCAGTGTGTGTGTAACGTTTGTGAGCCAGAGCGGCATACTTTCTTTGTCCTTTCCTGTTCCCTCTCATACAAGTGACTGTTGACTATGCCTTCCCTTCGGACGTGTATGATTCCCACTGCATCCCCACCTCTGCAGAAAGATCAGTTCTGCAGGAGTGAACCGGGATTGGATTAACGTAACCCCCTACCCATTGCAGGAGTCGTTACAAAGATGAAGAACAGAGGATGTAGATGACCTTTTGACTAAGCTTCAAAGAAGTTAAGAAAATTCGCATCATAAGTGACAAAGAAAAAAGGAAGGGCATAACAAGAGTCCCCCTTGGCTAAACCATTATCTGGGGGCTAATGCAACATACCTGGTTAATTTCTTCATCCTTCAAGATTCAGTGGAGGCAAACATCTTCAAAGAGATGTTCCTCGATCTCTTCAGCAGACTGAGTTAGGAGACCTTCCTCACTGCTACCCGCACACGGGGCTTACCCCTGACACAGCATTTAGCATAGTGCACCACTACATAAAGCATCTAACTCCCTTCTCCCCAGACCATGGACTCCCTGGATAAAAAAGAACAGGTCCTTCACTATCTCCTTAACATCTAACACAGTTCCCGGCACAGCGTATATTCAGTAAGTTCTTCTGAATGAATATCAATATTTTATTATTATAAACAATGATAAAAGGTATTAAGGGGGTGGTAGCCTAAAATTTTATAAATCAGAAAAATGAGTCAGAGTTTGGATGAAAGTTCGCTGACTCAAGCTGGAAAGTCATTGACTATTTTTAGCTCTTTCAACAGCTGGGAGTGAAGCCTAACCTGGTGTTTAATTTCCAGGGTCGGGGGAGGGGGGGACCAGAACAACTGAATAGACTCTAAAACTGATTCAATCACTGGCTCTAATTTGACACTTGGTGCATCCATGGTCACTACCACCAAAATCCATGTAAAAAGCCCTATGCTTGCTGTTCTATATGGCAATTTTAATGTCAATGATTACAGGAATTTATTGAACATCACAAAAGAAACACTGATGTATTTTTATACGTGCCAGGAAATCATGTGTGTTCCTTCTCTCAAGCAAAGATTTAAGAGTCCATTCATTAAAAAAAAGTCCATTAATGTTTATTAAGTCTGTACTTTGACAGTAACTTGAGCATAGATAAAATAGAACCTCCTGGTTCATTCATTATTTATTCAATAAAGTTTTTGAGCTATGAATTTGCATAAAGCTCTTCGGTAGGAAATATGGGGGCTCACTATGGAACTGTCACTTTACCCTGACAGATTTTACCATCTCTTTTAAGAAAGAAAGAAAAACAACTTTAAAAAAGGCAACCCAAGACCAAATGTAAATAAATAGTCCATATCGTTTTACAGATGAAGATGGTGTAGATGTGGAGAAATAGGGGAGCTCTGTAACAGCTAAAGGCCTGAGCGGGAGAGACACCAGCTGATCTCTTCCTCCTGGCCCTGCTTACTAGTCACAATGCCAGGCCAGGCTTGGAACAGAACTAGAAGCTTCTAGTCTCTTCTTGAAAGTGTGATTGCTTCCCCAACCTACAGACATGGCCTATGGGTTTTTGGATTAGAAAATATATGCACAGTTGCTTAGTTATTTGCAAGTTCTATGTTTGTGATTTTACCTCCTCACTGAAATGCATGTATGGCCCCCAAATCAATACAGCACTTCATGGTCATTCGCAGACGTGGGCAGATCCCTGAAAAACCTGGGCGGACAGACACAAACCCTCCCAGCAGAGGTCAAACAAGGCTAACCTCTACCTTCTTATTTCAGCTCTCACTGTAAAGTGCCCTTTTCACAGACTACAAATACACCATTTTTGGTGCTTTTGGTGTGTGTGTGTTATTTAAAATGGCCCAGAAACACAGTGCTGAAGTGCTTCCTAGTGTCCCAGGAACAAAATACCTAAGTTTAAAAAGCTTAATAAGTTTCATGCAGTATGAGTTCTGATGCTGTTGGCCCTGAGCTCAATGTTAATGAGTTAACCAACAATATATGTTAAGGAAGCTATCTTTAAACAGAAACACACATAAAACCAGGATATACATTGGTCAGTTGACAAAAATGTTGCATCCAGGGGGTGACAGAAACCACACAGTATTTCCACCAGGAGCAATAATCGTTCAGTATTGTAAATCCTCCCTCCCTCTTCTCTCCCATGGTGTTTGTCTTGCTGCAACCCAGTTCGGGGCCCGCTTGAGCCGGGTCAGGCATTTATTTGGCCTGAGCACGCGCCCTGAGCCAGGAGGGGGCGCCGTCCGCCCAGTGCTCACC